TGTCGTGTTGATATTGACATCTGTTTATGTGGTATAACGTGATACATATTGCAATCACTAGGGAGCGGATTTCTATGACTTCGCATACTTTTGTTCGTTGATTCAGGGCATAGCTAAGTAAAAATTCTTGACTTTGGTTAGAATTGGATGCTATGAAGATTAATACATTAGTGAATATTTGGTCGATTTGATCTGTTGTAAATATTGGTGTAATTATAAGGACATATTTTGCATATTTCCTTAATGTAGAGACATCTCTGAAAAATTTCTACTTTTCAAACGATCTATTCATTTGTAAGCGTTCATCGATTACAAAGAGCTTGTCACAGTTTGCGTTTTTTTCCTTTTATATAAATAATAAAATACTTGTGCAAATGTAGAAAATTTCTTGATATGTTTCTTAAACCAATCGGAAGAAATACAAGACATACGATGTACTTCATCAATGTGAATATTTACTTTCATTATTTCTCCCGCGAAGTAAGGTAGATTATATTCTGTTTACAGAAAAATATATATTTTCATTCCAAGCACGCTTCTCCTGAATTTTATGATGGACGGTTAATGCATCATTTCATATATTGGCATATTAGCCCCCTTTCCATTTTTTATGCTATGTTATTTGTTTGGGAAATGTGAGCAGTCAGAAGAATACAAATGTTTTCCCTTTCCATAGACACGAATGGCAAAGAACGCTACCCCCGGGTGCCTTAAACTAATGGTGCTAAAACAGCAGATGATTTCTCGCCCTTAGTAATGGTTACGTAATACTATTTATACCAAAATTTCTCTCCGAATTAATACATTTGAATATCTGTCAACATCTAACTTCCTTATTTCAAAATCTGTCTTTCACGAACAGATATCACTAAGAGAAAATTTCTATCTTAAATATTTTATTTGTAGAAAGACGCCGAAAGAATTTTGAACTTTAAAAATTTTATAAAAGTGAGTGTTTTTAACGAACATGAGGCCTGCACCATTGTCTTAAACGTTCTTTACGCTATTCAAAAGCAAAATTTAATCAAAAACATTGAAGTAATTTTTAAAAAAATTGAAAATGTCCCAGGGGCTTCAGGTAAAGTACTACCCAACAGCACAATATTGGTTTTAAATTCAAGGGGCCGTGACATCAGCAAGAGCAATTGAGGAATATCAGTTTTGGAGAAAATCGGCTGAATGTTTTAGCCACTAGCGTAGGGTGGCAGACAGACAGACAACAGACGAACGGCTGGACACAAAACATAGATTCTGGCTACACCACGTGTTAGAGGCCTTTTTTTCTAAATTTAGCCACTGCATTTATTCACTTTGTCATTACAGGACCCGACAAAGACAGTTTCTCTGCCGCTTTTCCCGCAGCATTATATAACTTTCTCTCCATTGCGTAAGTGGAAGCGAGAAAATAAAAAATCCCAATCCCTTTGGTTAAAAAGAAATGTATTCCATTAAGGAAGAAAAACAACATACGATATCTAAACGAATATCACTTGTGTGAATGAGGGTGAATCACTAAGCAACATTCATACGTGTGATGTCATACGAAGAAAAGCAACGAAAATGACCCCTCAGGGATCCTAATAAATGTCTTTCCGGAATGCCTTCTGTTGATATTCTGAATTAGTTATTTTCTTCTTGAATAACTGAATTTTTCATATTAATGTGGCGGTAGACTTGCACAGCATTCCGCACTTGGACTGACCTCGGGAGACGCGTGCAAGTAACATGAGTGGAATCCCAGGCCGCTTGGACGGGTGAGGACAAGACTAATTCTAGAAGTGTGGATTGCCAATCGAAGCTAATAAAATATTCTTAAAAAATCATTATTAACTAATTCTGCACTAATTCTGCACTAACTTAACTGCACTAATTCTCTAATTTCCGATAAGAGTACATTATATATTTCAAATTTCAAATCAACGAACACTATTTATTCATAATCATTTACGACATCGTATAAAAAAAGATTAAGCCATTTGCGTTCTATTTAATAAGACTCGAAATAATTTCATGTTTGCCCACAAAATATCGTAAAAAAGGTTTGCATAGGTACCTTTTATTCATCTTCATAATGAAGGGAAACGGTTACAAATATGTCCTACCAAACAGTACCCTTCTTGGAATTGCCTGCATATTATTTTTATATCTATCTCGAAGTGAGAGGTTGCCCTCAGTTTCCTCCATTTCGCTGTCATTTGAAAATTATAACATTCGTGGTGAAAAAACAATTATCAAATTGTAAATGTTACTAAAAATTACATAATACATTTTAAAAGACACCACTGCTTTAATATACTGTCTATGAGATACAATGAGCATAAACGTTTTGAAAAATATCGGTACATTGCAGAGCACAGAAGAACATAAACAGTGAAATATGGGCCTTGCAGCTAGAAATACAGTAGACTGCCCGTTTAAAAAAGATGGCAAATAATTTCACAGCATGAATCATGGTATTAGACACCAACCATTCAATCTACGAGCCGTGTCGACCCCGCTCCAACTTCTCTCCCGGGGGGGGGGGGGGAGTTCCCCAGCCCAAAGCTGTCTTCTCCGCACCATGTGCACTTTCTGCGTTATCGCGGGCAGACGGCTGGCTCTTTAACTGCAGAATGCCCGTAGGAGTAGCTGTTGTACAGGTCTTCTGTAATGTGCGTGGTAAATAAATTTACTCGAAAGTTTTAATGGTATATTATTTAATTTCGAATAGCCAATAAAACCTCTTCATATATACCCAGTTAGAAAGTGGCATGAAATAATTTTCATGGAGCTAGTGACCTGGATCAGTAGTAAAATATTGAGAAAATTCAATTCTGTGCTGAAGAATGTGGCAATTGAGGGTATTTACATATTTAACACATTAATTTATTCATGCATTGCTGTCCACGAAACAGCGTGTTAAGTTTAACTGAATACAACGTGAATTTACATACATTTAAATTCATTAGATTTTCAATTACAGAATAACGTCATTAAAATTTTACCATTTTTCCAATACGACTGTCCTATCGCAATAGATGCAGTATGAACGTCAATTGTCCTGGGAGTGATATGGAGAATCAATAAGCATAGTCTATTAATAGACAATGTTATCCATGTTCATTTACAAAATATGTCCAATAAACGAAATTGTGTCAAGGAAATAAAAATAAATGTTATTAATTGTATTTAAATATTGTCTTCCTACCTTTCTCTATTAATTATATTTTTGTCAATCTATTTTGTCAACTGTATAGGAACATCCTGTTCAATGTTGAAACGATTGAATATGCAATGGAAAATCAAAATTGCACCAATAACAGAACGAAAATCTAAACAAGGCCATGCGCGATCTTTCCTTCTTCTTCCTTGTTTTGTACTCTCGCCGTAGAACACATGCACTACATTACCACACACGTCGAGAGACCACTGGGAAGCTTACAGCTTGACACAGTCGGGTCGGTCTCTTTCGAGAGATACCTGGAGGAGGCAACCATGCAAGCAAACGTGTAGGTTGGCGCAGGATCTCACGTTCCAGAAGAGGAACTCCACCACCTCACCGAATATATCTTGTAGTACACTTACACTCTGATGACTATCGCAGTAGTCGTGCTTGTAAACAATCAATCGAGGCCACTGCAATTAACACAAAATACTCTAGATGGCAGCGCAGTGCGACAGGTTTCTGCTCGCCTCGGCGGAACGAGCGAAAAGCGCTCGGCCTGGAAAAGCAAGCACCTGACGCTCGGTACTTGGAACTCCGCCAGACGAGTCACTATTTCAACACTAAAGGTGCCGCGAAGTTGAAACGTTGAATTGAGTCCAAATTATGTAGAAATTAAAATTGAAATGCTCCATTTACCTTACTCTGGCGGAAATTACGAGAATATTATGTATAGCTGTTTGCAAGTTAGTAAGTAAATTAAATTTAAGTGCAGCTTATAAATATTATTGTTTTAAAGGAGCAATATTGATCCAGAAAGAATAAAAGACATTCTTAAAAACCAGAGTTCGAAAAGAAATCTGTATGTCATGGCCTGATTAAAACATATCCACAAACATATTCAGTTTGCCTTCATGTACCTATAATAAATAAAATATTAGTAGCTACAATTATGTCCTTGTAATAAACGCCATATTCACTTAAAATTTTTCTCATAAGTATTGCTTACGTAGTTCTGCAATAATATCGCACGTGACACATTTCGAATTTCTTTCTAAAGAGGCGAAGTGAACCCGTCACTGCCACTGCTCTTACCTGTGGATCAACTATTCACGAGCGTGCGTAGGACGTTCGAACTTACGGCAGTCTAGAATAAAACGTTCCAGCAAAGGACCAGCGAGCGAATTGAATGTCTTGCAGCACTCTAGTAGAAAATCGAAAATTCATCTACTCGAACATTCGGACTTCGCAGTCATCGACGGCGGGAAAGAATGATAAAAAGTGAAGAAAAAGTGAATATACCAGATAGATATATAAATAGATTGATACACACAGAGAAAGAGAGAATACACAACACAATGTACGAGAGAAAGTGAGAAAATGAACTAAAGAAAGGAAGAGAAGGTACGAGAGAAGAAAAAAATTGAAATCTTTGAAAAGGAAAAATTGAAATCTAACTGATGTATTATTACATTTAAATGAATTGTTTCTATGCTTTGCAGAGGCAATGAGAATTAATGTAACTTCGTTTGGGATAATAACTGCCAACTAACTAGTTTCTCTTACTAGGCCAATTTCGTACTGCCATCCTGGAGTAATTTGTACTAATCTTACTTTTAAATCACGTGCCTGTTTTTCAGGAGGCAGAACCCACGGACTCTGGAAAACGTGTTCTTTTATCCGCGACCTTGACGTTCCCGCTTTAAAGCAAAGGAGGAATAATTTAATTCACATTTCCGAAATCCATGACTGAACAAGCATACAAAAATATACACGACCAACCTCCTGTTTGAGAAGCCCGTTAAAAAGAGCAGCGCGTGCGTTTGTTACACAGTGAGAGCATCCGTGAAGTACTTACTCCGCTTCCTCGACAGCGTCGCTCATGGCCAGGAAGACGCAGTTGAGCAGGATGGTGGCCATCACGACGTAGTCGAAGAACTGGTTGGTGGAGATGAAAATGCAGGCGCGGCGGAAGGGGTTCCACGGCGAGAACACGAAGAACGAGGAGGTGGCCGTGAAGCGGTGGATGTAATTCTTGCGGAACCGCTTCGACACCACGCAGAAGGTCTGCAACATACGCGTGCTTTTAGTGCGTGTCTCGAGATGGGTTCTGTTGGCTTGAGTGAAAGGTACAAATAAACATGTTTTATTGTGGAGAATCTCCTTCAAAATGCTTGCCGTCATCTTTGCTTATACTACCTGAAGTGTCATTGGGTCAGAAATAGTGAGTATATTAATTAGTGACAATGGAATGAACGAACATACCAATTAGAATCAATCGGATCTTCAAAAGCATTTTCGATCAGACTCGTCAATAAAAATGTAATGTAGACAAATTACAATTAATGAGATTTCGCCGAAGGAACGAACATATTGTAAATCTTGTAAACCCTCGAAAATTTATTTTGCGAAAGAAACACTGAAAGAGTAATGCCCTCATTCGATGAATTCTTTCTCAATTTTCCTTAGACAAAAAATAAGTTCGTATTATAAGAGTTTTATTAATATACAACTGTTCCCAATATTTTCACAATTACACGTAGAATGCATACTTTTACATTTTAGAGTGATGATGACAGCAAACTCGTTCGAAGCAGCTCTTCACCGTAAACACATGCTGACTCCCGTTGGCGCACTTCTTTCCACCCCGCGTGCTCCGACGCACTCGCGAGCTCGCTGTCGCGGCTCCAGTCAGAGCTGTTCGTCGCTCCTCGCCTCCCCTTCCCGCCCCTACCTCGGCAACTCTCTCTCTCTCCCGGCAGGTTCGACCGCGCGTTGCTGCCAGCACGTTCGCCACCAGCCCTGCGGGATCCCCCCGTGAAGCGACCGGCGGTCCGTCCCCCTTCCCCAGCCCCTCTCACCCCCACCGCCTCCAGTATCCAGCGCGCGGCCGCCGCTCCGGCCCGCCGCGCCATATTACGGACGCCGCTCCGCGTTTACGTCACCCGATGACCGGTGTTACCCCCTGAGCTATGGCGACGATTACGACTATTACAGCCGCTGTACCGGGCGGTTGGGAGCGATGAGCAACAGTACCTTGGACGCCCGAAAGTGGCGACCGCCAAGTTGGGGGATGGGAGAGTTCTCGGAAACGATCAACATGCAATAGTCAAAGAGAGAAATGTACACAGAGAAGGGAAAATATCGATTTTTTTTGGGGGGGGGGGGGNNGATATTCAAAGAACAAGAACAATTACGTGAACATGCAGACGTATAAATAATTGTGAAGTATGTTCCAATTTCTAGGTACGTACATTCGTCATAAATGATCATTTGTACAAAAAACACAATAACTGCGAGAACCAAAATATATGTACAATTTAAACACACGTAGTTATATGACATACAAGTGTATCTACTTACGTATACATGTACTACAATGTTACATGATTAAAGAAAGGATGTTGGTGATTGGTCTGGGTGATTGAAGGCAAAGAATAAAATATCCGTAAAATAACAATATAATAAGAACACTTGTAATGTCAAGAAGTGTTTTAACATATGATTGCAGTGTAAAAATCATAGTGATAAGAAGAATAATACTGTCAATGAATATTTGTGATGTTTTTTCTAGCGGTTAAAACTAACTCGTGCCCAAAGTAAAACCGTTGCCATACCAGTATTCATATCTCTTAATCACAATATGTTTGTCAGCTCCATAGGCGAAAAGAACGATTATAAAATGAAATGTGTTTATGAATAAATTTACTTTATCCACCATTACATGGAAAAAACGAAAAAATATAGAACTCCACGGAAAGTGACGCACGATATCACGAAGTCGAATAATTACATGGCAAACTTAAAGTTTGCAAAGTTCGCATTAAAAGGGAATTGCACTCTGCATATAGAGTGAACAGCACAAATGAAAGGAGGAATCTCGACAGCAGAATTTCAACTACTGAATGAATAGTCGAGCCAAAGTGCTGCTGCGCATGGCCCCTTCGTAACAACGCGCGGCCGCGTCGGCGATATGCGAATAGCTTGGAAGTAATGAGGCAGCTTTCAAAGCCCGGCCGACGGCCTCGGCATGCAGTCCCGGCACCCCCGAATTTCGTGCACGCGTCCCGGTCCGGAGCCGGAGTGGAAATATTTTTATGCCATCGCGGGGGACATGCGAAGCTTCCGTTATATTACATATACACGTATCGTGCTGCGGCTGCGGACGATTTCCACTTTATGAACGTTCCTACACCAAAGTTGTAACGAGGCGGCTGTAGGACCAACCGGTTAAGTCGGGAAGGGGAGGGGAAAGTGAGAAAAGAGGAGGGGGTACTGCGGCACCCGTCCTGCGCTGAAGAAAGGTGAAAGCCATTGGCCAATCGTGGTCCTACATACTGTAAACGTCTTCGAATTAAAGCGGGACAGATTCTCGGTGCAAAAGTGGTTCTGAAAATGTTTTTACTAGACAAATTAAGTCCATTCATCAGAAATTTTTAATTTGTTTAACGGTCTGTCCGTTTACAACAAATATTTTAGTTCACTATACATTGGCATATAACTAGTATAAAAATGGCTACTTGAAGGACTATAATTAGAGTTGTTAATCCTGTTTAAAAACACAGAATTATCAATATTAGCAAGTTTTATTACACCAGTTGACGAATGGGCTCGGGGAGTTCGGAGAGATTGCCATTATTCTTTTATAAAACTACTGCATACACTTTGACAGTCAACTCACTACAAAGATTCTCAAAGCTTCAAAAGCTGAAACTTCAGGATCATTTACGAGTAAGAAAGTACGCAGTCTAGTCTAGTGTATTCAATTATTTGTTTACATCACTCTGTGGAATATATTTATCATGTTTAACATTTATCACAATTATCATTAGTTTTTAAAACGAGAGTTAAACCCAAAAGATATTTTTAGATTCAGGTAAGAGATATAAATATTATGTTGTGTATTTAACGCCATATCTTTACGAGAAAACTGTAAGTCTTCAGTGTGATAGTCTATTTAGCACTCAGTATGCATATGCACTATATATCACCATGTTTATTGTCGCCAAGATGTGAATTTATAATAGTGAACACCGAGTAACAATAGACGAAAACTATCAGTGTGCTTTTTAATCTGAAGATTATTTCTCGTCAATTCAAAAGTCATTTACAGTCCATTCTTTATGGATTCATATCAAAGAATTGAAAACGCGATCTAACAAGCAAATCAGGGAAGGAAATTTCGTCGGTTTTCTCGACTGCTCTTTGGAAGAGCTAAGTTTCTTCTGGAAACAGCGTTTGACAGCTTTGTCTCTACTGTTCGAAAAAGGACGACCCGGAAGCAAGCAACGAAGGAACTTCTTGCCCGATAATGGATCGCGAAAGAATTACAACGAACTGAAGGAAAAGGGAATCTGCGAGGAAGACAAACACGAAGCGTCGGCTAGCACGAGAGAGAAAGAGCGAAAAGAAGCTTGCAAGCTACACGGCTCCCGTTCATTTCCTGGAAGCAACCGACACGCGCCAGGCCCGGTGCTCGGCCACTCCGTCCGGGCGCGTGGTTATTGCTTCGGTGGCCATTTGTTAAAACTCGCGCCCGGAAATCACCTCCGGTAATTGCAATATCGCTGCCCGCACCCCCACCGACCCTGGCCGTTGCCCGGGCGTTCACGTGCCCACCACGGACCGCGCGCTTCGGACAATTACACGGCATTCAAACAAATTGAAGGTGAAAGTTGGCCCAACCGGTGAACGGAATGAGGGGAGGGGTCGGACGGCCAGTAGGAAGAGTGGAGGAAACCAGTGCCTTTCAACTCCCATAGAAGCTCGTGGCAACGGTAACAGAGGTGGGCACTACTCTCGTACCTTCTTGAAGGAAATTAAAGGCAGGCTGCTGTCAACGTTCCTGAGAAGACGCGTGGGCTGCAAAATTAGGAGCGTGGCCGATGAAAACGTTCGCGCTTCTTATAGCCGTTGTTTTGCATACAAATATTACCATTATAAATGCTTAATCCCTACGGAATTCTTGTTTTCCACTAATTTCAAATTTTTATCGTAAAAAGTTGGCAAAGCCGCACTAGTCTATACGAGTGCTCCTGTACTTGCACCCTATAGTTTTGTCTACGGAACCAATGGGGAGTGGATACGCCCTGATGGTGACAGCGCAGAGGTCGCAGTGCGTCTACCGTAGGTGTCTGAGCTCGTGTGTCCACGAGGCGCAGGCAGGCGTGGGTGGGTGAGTGGAATGCGGAAGAGATGGGTCCATCGATCGAAAGTTGGCTGAGGCCTGTGCGACGGGGGCGGCGAGGACCGGCGGCATGAGCTGGGAGGCGGTGCCAGCGGCGCCGACCGCGGGTGCCACGGTCCCTAATACCATCGAATTCTAACAGTCGCGCCGTTCGTTGTGGTAGCCAGGTAGTCACGGTCACGGCGTTATGTAGTTTCACCTTCGCCGGTGCCCAGTATGTGCAGCTACTCTATTGGTTATCCTCCCACGTACCTATACAATTTAGCCCCAAACACTCCCGTTTTGCTCAAATCTTTCCTCATAACAATTTGCATCTCTTTTACGTCAACCACTAGACACCATTTCCTGTGTTTCGTCGTTGTTTGTAATCCTAGAGGTCTTTGCTAGCTCGTGCCTATATGTACAAATACTTGAGTATTAATCAAGTGTAGTTCTTGTAATCACCTCATTTTGTTTCTTTGTTACTCATCATGTTATCTTCACACCCAATAGGCTATCGTATTTCTTACACGTACTTTACAGCTTTTGTTACTATCCAAATCGTCTTCTAAATGAACACCCAGCTCTATCTTGTACATTGTCACATCGATATTAACGAATTTTCCATTATTTTGACATCGCCACCTATACCGTTTTCTTCCTCACCATCTCGTTTCTCAAGATCCGAACACTTAAGGGCTTGGGCTCAGTTCTACTCGACTCCACCCTCAGGCTGGTTTGGTCCAGGGCCACCAAGCGGAACATCAGTCAGTAAACTGTGTTCGCGGGAAACGGATTGATGGCGATTTTTTGCCAGAAAGATTCGATCGAGGCCGCTCCGGTCGAGTCCGCTGCCGCAGTTGGGAGTAACCGGGCATTAAGCCGGCCCATTAATCAACGAATCAATACCGAAAGGAAGGGGGTGAGGTCCGAACCTCGGGTCCCGCGTAATATGGGTTAAGGCTGTTCCCTCGCCTAAATAATTCAACAGGCTGCAGCACTGCAGCCGCTGTTATTT